TTGAGCTAATAATAACCCATATAAATATTTTTAGTACCCGGTAATTAATGTTTGGGAATAAACACCCAATAACTCCGGAGGGTTATATAAACATAGTCCTCTCATCAAAACAAAAATAATAATCATGAAAACAAAAGATTTGATACAAGAAAAAATTGTTTTCATAACCAAAAGATTTTAAAGCATAATTTTCAAAACCAAGAAAAAGAAAGATAAAAACATTAAAATTCTTGGTTTAAAATCAAATTTGTTTTGGTACCCAAGTAATCTTTGTACCAAAAGGTTTAGGGACATGACCCCTATCATTTAAGCTCAAAGCCCTAGGATTATGAACCCGTTTAGGCGCATATGGTGCACTAGCACGGTCAAAACAAAAATTATACTCATGACCTTTCCGATTGCAATAGGTGCAATGAATAGGGTTAAATGATTTGTGTTGACCAAGTGGGCGTGCACGAAAATCATTTGCAAATAAAGATTTTTCTTTTAAATTATTTCGCAAATGAGAAACATCATTAAACAAAGATGGTTTCTTTGGAGCATTTTGCAAAATAGGAACTTTTTGCACATCAAAACAAAATTTAGCAAGATGTCCAAACCTACCACAAACATCACATTTAAAAATATGTGGTCTACTAGAAACATTTGGCAAATGAGATTTATTTTTCAAATCAAAACAATATTCGGCCAAATGACCAAAACGACCACAATGATCACACTTGAACACACTAGCATGCTTATGATGAACAATGGGTGCATGTGTGTGTACATGTGATGAAGAAGCTACATGAGATGCACAAGGAGCATTGACATTTTTATGTTTGTGTGCATCATAGCAAAATTTAGTATGATGGCCTTTACGACCGCAAATAGAGCATTTGTAAACTTTGCTATATATGTGTGCATAGTGAGTGGATGATGACTTAGACTTGGCACACATATCCATAAGCCTCTTATGATTATTAATGCATGTTTTTAAAGTTGAATCTAAAGATGAAATGCATTTATTCGTAAGATTCAAATCTTCATTTTTAGGCACATAAGCATTTTTAGAAGTAGAACATAAATAGTTATTTATAAAAGAAGCAGTATCATTTTGTATGTTCTCTACTTCTAACATGGCATTATTTTTGTCATGAGTCAAGTTAGCAATATCCAATTTCAAATTTTTATTTTTCAAATTTAATATATCATTGTTTTCTTGAAGAGCAATACTTTCTTGAGAAATGATATCAAATTTGGAAGCTAACTTCTCATGATCGGAATTTAAATCTTCATGCTTGCTTTTTAAATCAATAAAATATTTTACAATTTCTTGTAGGCATGCAATAGTTTCTCACTAGCACAAGTAAGTTCATCATTAGGTAAATCATTAATAGATTCGAACTCGCAAACCTCACTATGGCTATCGCCTAGTGCACGTGTGCATGAAGCTCCTTTTGAACTTGAAGCGGGATCCTCCAAAGCTTGTTGGATCGCCTCCAAGTCCCCTTGATGTGCTTCTATAAATTTCCAAAGTTTGTAAGCACTATCAATATGAACAAATTTGTTAGAAAAGGATGAGTCAAAAGCATTAAGCAAAAATTCTAACAAAAGCTTGTTCATTGTAAACGTTCTATGATCATTTTTACACCACTTGGATTTCTCCGTAGTGGGTACAAAATAAGCATCATCTATAATTTACCATAAATCGAAGTGTCTAGATCGAACAAAAAGTTTAAATCTAATATACCAAATATAATCCGATTAAATGTTAATTAAAATTTATTAACAAGTTATCCTAGCAAGTATGAAATATAACAACTATATAAGCTAGGATAAGCAATATGAACAATGAGATATATCCTATATGATGAATATATATATGCAAGGATATATAAACTAACACAAGATGATATATCCTATCAAAGAGATATATAATATGATATATGTATATGCAAGGATATAAAACTAACACAAGGGGTAAACAATATGAACTAGATAGTGGATCATATAAATAATGAGCTAATGACAATGGCGACAAGAAATATAAACACAAGTATAAATAAACGCCAAAGCACACTCAAACACAAAATATGATCACGGAGTTCGGTCCTTCCGTCCTACGTCTCCGCTCCCCACTACCAGGGAGAAATCCACTATCACAACCCGGTTTAGAAGTCGGAACTTCTACACAAGTTATCCTAGCAAGTATAAAATATAACAACTGTATAAGCTAGGATAAGCAATATGAACAATGAGATATATCCTATATGATGAATATATATATGCAAGGATATATAAACTAACACAAGATGATATATCCTATCAAAGAGATATACAATATGATATATGTATATGCAAGGATATAAAACTAACACAAGGGGTAAACAATATGAACTAGATAGTGGATCATATAAATAATGAGCTAATGACAATGGCGACAAGAAATATAAACACAAGTATAAATAAACGCCAAAGCATACTCAAACACAAAATATGATCACGGAGTTCGGACCTTCCGTCCTACGTCTCCGCTCCCCACTCCCGGGGAGAAATCCACTATCACAACCCGGTTTGGAAGCCGGAACTTCTACACAATAGGTTTACAAGCTTACTGAAAACTCTCACACAACAAATACTATGCAATCACACTCTACATCCTCACAAGTGTTGGACCTAGCCGTGTCTCCCTCAAGTGCTCGGTTACAACCTCTCCCTAGGTTCGTCAACCGACGCCACTCCTCTTGGGACGATCCCCGACTCTCATCACACACTCCTCTCGGTGTACAAGTGTATTACAAAGTGTATCCTCACAATTAGGCTTAATATAATAAATGTTTGTTCTCTACTATGGATGAGAACACAATAAAAGCTCACACTCAATTGTTACAACTCTCACCAACCCAAATATACTATGTATGAAAATATAATAAGCTCATGTGGGTGTGTGTAACATTGAGATTTAATAAAAACTTAACTCAATAAGAACTAGCAATAAGATTGATATGAAATACAATAGTAGAAATGCTAGGAAATAGAGTTAAGGAAACTTCTCTAAAAACATAAAGAGAGGATGATGAAATATTAAAGATGAACTCTTCAATAGTTGATGTAAACTCCTCTTTGTAACAGCAAACCCAAACCAAACTTAAACCAAAACTAAACAAGCTTAAACCCTTGTTTAAAACCTTGTTTAAAAACTTCTTTTCTTGGTTAAGAAACTGAGATCAAAGAGGGTATTTATAGCCTCCAAAACCTCAGCCAAAAACCCCAAACCAAATGACAGAAACAGCCCAGCCAACGGTAACAAAAATAGGCGTTAGAGAGAGTCAGACTGAGCGGCGATCGACCGAAAGAATTCGCGGTCGACCGCGATTCAGAACCCAATCTGAGAATCGAGCAGAAACAACGACGGTCGACCGGTGCGATCGACCGATAGAAATTTCGAGCTCTCGGTCGACCGCACCGGTCAACCGACAAACTCTCTGCTGTCCACTATCGACTGAACATATGAGCGGTCGACCAGTGCGGTCGACCGAAATTTGATACTACAGAAAATGGAGACTGAAAACTGTTTTTTCTGATTTTAAAACACTGTTTAAAAATACAAATAAATTCCAAAAACAGTAAAACTTTATGGAATGATTGTAGACATGATAATAAACATGCTACAATAACTGGTTTTCAAAAAGGACTTTCCAAATGAAAAATATCATCATTTTGCAAAATAGTCCAAAACATGAAAATGTAAACACATAAGAATTTTGACATTTTGGCTAAACCATGTTTTGAAACTTTGCACAATGATTATATAGACTTAATAAAATATGTATATGATTATTGTTAAGTCAAAAAACTAAGAATACAATATTTTCATAAAAGTGCATATTCTATGCAATAAATACAAAAACACAATAGAGTATGAAATATGTAATTTCAAAATATATAAACATAAAAACCCAAAACACATGTATGTATATATATAACACTATATATATATATGAAAACCAATATAATGTGTGTGTACAATATTAAACTTAAGGTATTTAACACACATAATATAAAACCTATACTAAATATACCCAAGTTTGATGAAGGTCTTCAATAAGCTCTACTTGGTAATCTCGCGGATGAAGCTTGAACTTGATCTTTAACTTTGAATTGCAAGGCTTCACTCCACTATTCCGCCAACCTCCATTGGATATCATCGTTGAAGCTCTATTCCATCCATCCTCCAACTACGTTGTTTGTCTATAATAAATAAGAAAACACAAATACAAGACAAACAACATTAGTGGTAAATTCCAACTACGTTGTTTGTCTATAATAAATAAGAAAACACAAATACAAGACAAACAACATTAGTGGTAAATTAATTGTTAAACATCATCAAAACAAGAAGGCTAACACTAGGCGCTGGCACAATCGTCTTGTCCGCCTAGCGCCTTCTGTAACATTGCTTGTGAATAAAGATGGAAACCCTCATATTAAAAAAAATACAAATTATGAATGCATCTTCATTTAATAAGGTCCACCCTGGAAGATAAAATGATACCTAGGATAATTCATCTTGATTAAATACATGTTCTAGGGATGCATTTATTCAGCACGGATCAACATTCAATTCATCGCCTCCAATCTCTATGAATGCTTACACTAGTAGAAAACAGCACAGCCCAAACGGTCATTGCAACCGTTTGGGCAAGTCGAAAAAGCCCAAATGGTTCTAACCGTTTGGGATAATAATCCCAAACGGTTGAAACCGTTTGGATTGTTAAAAAATCCCAAACGGTTGAACCAAACGGTTGAAACCGTTTGGGCTATTAAAAAATCCCAAACGGTTGAACCAAACGGTTACAACCGTTTGGGATATATTAGCCCAAACGGTTTAACCCGTTTGGACTTCCAAAAACATTGAATTCCAGCATCCATTAGGGACATAAGGTAACAAAATATGTTTTCTATCATAGGAAGTAGATAAGGAAATTATTTACTTGACAATAAATATAGTCACCTGACTTTTATATTGACCCTATCAACCTTCCCATATCTTCCTAAACGGCGCTCAAGTTCCGATTGACGAGCATCATGCTCAAAGTTCCCGCATATAACAGGCTTCAGGTTCTTTCATCAGAATACAAGACGTCCAAGTAGACTTCGTTCATAAAAGCTAAGAGACATAAATATCTTCGATAAAGGACTTGGAAAGAGACAAAGCACGAACAAAAGATCTAGAAGTAACGTGTCAATCACGATATGCAAAGACAACGGATGCTTTTGTTAGTCCAATTTGATACAAACACATGCTTTTGTGTTAATTATTTACTTATCTTTGGCCATTCGTTCAATCAGATGTTGAGTATTAATACATCAAAGGTAACTGGAAAATTCATTCTTAGTGTGCACAAATCTTTCATCTAAAAGGAAAGGCATATTCATTAGTGAAAAATTGCATGGCTTTTTTTCCATTAAGACAGGCATGGTTGTAGATTTGCTAAGTGACTGTGCATAAAAGATTACAAAAAGCATAAATTGATATTTTTTCACATACTGTCTCCCCACCCAAACTCACCTTCCCACACCACAACGAAAATAAAAAATAAAACTAAAACTCTATACGCTGTTAATTTCCCTATTCTTCCGCATACATTCAAGCATCAATATGATAAGAGTATATGTTCATCATAGAAGGATTTAAAGCCCAAAAAAAAGTTTCATATGAAAACCAGTAAATTAGAAGGATTTAACACCAAGAACAAGAAATGCAAGCTAAACCAGAACAAGTCTACAATTATCAATACTCAAGATAAGGGAAATTTTCATTTAATCGCTTAATATTTTGGCATGCATCAAATAACCGCCCAATAATAAAAATTGATCACAACGCCTTCATTCCGCTTGTGAGAATAATTATTGACCATAGAAAGATCTAAAGCACTATCAAAAAGCTTGATCAGCAAAACTAGTGAACTAGAAGGATCTTAACACCACGAACAAAATTACATGCTAGATCATCATATATCTACAACTATCAATAATCAAGTAAAACGAAAATTCCAGATAACCCGTATGTTTTGACATACATCAAAAAACCAGCTAATAATAAAAAGCGATCATGGCACCTCATTCATTTCTACTTGAGATCCCCTAACCCAAGATGAAAAATTTCAAAGCACACCCTAACCAAAGATGGCAAAGTACAAAGAACACCCTCTACTTAACACCCTCTACTTATGAAAGTAATAGCCCGCTCCAAACCTGAATGCAAACCGCCACTAGTAGAAAAATGAGCAACCTTGCGAAAATTTTCGTCTAGGTTGCTCTATGTTCCGTCTAGATTGTTTTACCTAGACGGAAATCCGTCTAGTTTGCTCCTTCTAGAATATTTCCGTCTAGATTGGCACAAACTAGACGGAATTCCGTCTAGGTTGTCAATCTAGACGGAAAGCAACCTAGACGGTTGTGTAATTTTCGTCTAGGTTGGCAATCTAGACGGAATTCCGTCTAGATTACCAACCTAGACAGAATTCCGTCTAGGTTGGCAACATAGATGGTTTTCCGTCTAGGTTGCCTACCTAGACGGAAATCCGTCTAGGTTGGAGCAACCTAGACGGAAAACCGTCTAGGTTGCACCAACCTCGTCTAGGTTGGAGAAACCTAGACGGAGAACCGTCTATGTTGACTCAACCTAGACGGTTTTCCGTCTAGGTTGCTCCAACCTAGACGGTTTTCTGTCTAGGTTGTAGTAAAACCAACCTAGACGGATTTCTGTCTAGGTTACGGCAACCTAGAAGGAAAATCCGTCTAGTTTGATATTTTTACAGAAAAAAAATTTATTTAAAATTTTTAATTTCCTGTAGAATTACATGAATACATTTAATCATCCAAATATAATCAAAATTCATAACAGTTACATTAATAACCAAATATAATAAAACCATCCAATGCACATATCCAACAATTTCATCGTACACAATACACATATCCAACCATCCAATCCAAAATATACATCAACCAATTCGGACCAATATATACATCCAACCACATGTTCACTAACAATACACATGATTAAGATAAGGTACACAATATATACATCCAACCACATGTTCACTAACAATACACATGATTAAGATAAGGTACACAACATGAATAAAAGTAGAGTGTTATAACAAATAAAACTATTTATTGCATTAACAAAAATAAAAAACCTCAACTCTCATCGTCGTCAGTAGCATCTCTATCCCGGTTACGAGAACGAGTGCTGCTCCCTCCAATATCTCCACTCTGAAGATCCAATTGAAAAATAATTATGTGGTGTTTAATAACATAGTAAACAAAAATGAATTTATACATATAAAAAAAATAAGATACCTGAACGCTGCTCTGCCTAGCACCGGAATTATCGCCAATCGAGCTTATGATCTGTATGATTCCACTATATGCGTTATGGGGAATCACACCACCTAAATATTCCATAGCATACCCCATGAGATCGTCCATTGAGTTGGCCGTCCTCGCAACTCTAGTCATCCGTCCATTGAGTTGGCCGTCCTCGCAACTCTAGTCATCTCAGTAGTCACCTGAATATGCAGTTCTGGATCAATCTTGTCCTCGCAACTCTAGTCATCTCAGTAGTCACCTGAATATGCAGTTCTGGATCAATCTTGTCAAACAAGTACGTGGAGATGCGTGTAATAAATGGCATGGCCTGAAAACTGCTTGGGGCTGCTCTCGTTATTATAGATGGCGTGAAGGATGCTGTGGATGATCTTATGCTTATGTCGGGTGAAGCTCCAACACCATGCAGAGGATATCTTCTTCTCCTATTATTAAGGAGAAATAAATTTAGATTTTGCTTTCGAATCAATAATGTAAACAAATATAAATAGGAACGTAGCATTCAAATTGAATTGATCTTTTACCATTCATACCTATTATGTCCCATTACGTTCTGCGTAAGAATGATGTTCTTCTCTGTAGAAAGCATATGAGGGTCTGACTCGCCTTGTTCCCCCTCCTGCGACAACCTCAATGATGCAGCCTCCTTAGATGCAGTCTCAAATCCCGCCTAAATCACAAATATATAGTTAATTCAAGGTAAATATCATATTATTTGTGCTCTAGTTTTCTCGTAATATTCAAAGAAATAGAGTTAATAATACTACTTAAGATATATATAAGTCTTACCACCAAATTGAGATTTACCTTGGTCTTTTCTTGATTCTTCTCCTCAACCCTATACCTATCACGAAAAGTACCATACGCCGCTTTTGCCTTCAAGTGTATCAGCATTTTTGATTTTCTCTGTCATATTATACATTTATGAGATTTCATAATCATATTAAGCATTAAGATCATTTTAAGCTTTAAATGATATGAGATTTCATAATCATATTAAGCATTAAGATCATTTTAAGCTTTAAATGACATATACCGTATCATGACAATAAAATATTAAGCATTAAGATCATTTTAAGCTTTAAATGACATATACCGTATCATGACAATAAACATCCTCCAAATTGGCATAGGAGTGTGCGCCAAAGTGGTGATCATACAGCTTCTTCCTTCTATTCTCTGGCTCCTTCATGGATTTATTCTTTAAAAAAAAAATTTCAGTAAATATACAATAAAATAATATCTTTTATTTATAAAGTAGTTTTTATGAAACTAACCTTGGCGGCATCGCTGTCCTAATACATGAGGAGAGCCGTGAAATGAGCTCGTCAACTCGGTCATCGAGGTTTAAAACCCTCTGCCAGTCCTCCTCATACCTGTCATAAGTAAAGTGTTTGATCTCATTCCTCATACCTGTCATAAGTAAAGTGTTTGATCTCATGCCTCCATTGTTTGAGGACTGCTTCAACCTTGATATTAAACACATAATTCCAAGCCTGATCTCATGCCTCCATTGTTTGAGGACTGCTTCAACCTTGATATTAAACACATAATTCCAAGCCCCCTCTAAGTCCTCAAGGCAAAAGCATTCCTGTAGATTTACATACACATTTAGTTCGGATAATTTAATATCAATTACTAATTATTAATAAATGAAGAGCTAAAGCAATATGTAGTTACCATAAGCTCGGTCCATATCGCCTCGTACGCGGTCCATGGTAAGTGAAAATAAGGGTTGATAATGCTCGCTCTACGCACGAGAACCCCAATGTATGCATTCAATCTTATCGACCAAGGACCAGTGGGCAAATTATAACTATTCCACCGAATTACCGTCCTCATTCCTCTTGGTGGTTGTTTAGATTCAGGCTTACCTCCACCACGTCGGCTCTCTATGCGATCTGGCTTAGCACCTACAATAATAACAACAAGATAATATATCATAAAATATATAAATCTGAAAAGACCATTATGCATGAATTCTAACTAAATTTTATACAGTGATACCCTACTATACTACTGCTTACATATAATATAATAACACTATGTACTATAATAAAATTACACTAGCTTACAGAAGCAAAAATACCAACCAGTGCATGAGGCATCTACCTTAATTAATTTGTCTTACTGGTTTTTGTAACAAAAGTTTATTATTAAAATTTCTGGAATTGGTAAAATAAGCAAGGAGATAGTTAAAAGTATTTATGTAATTTACCATTCGCTTTCTCTCTTTCTTTTGCTGTGAGTACAGCATTTTTCCTAATCTGCAACATAGGAAGCATAAATAGGTATTAACCAAAAATCTATTATTTGATTTAGATTATGTGTGGATGGTTTAGGATTAAAGTTCCGTTTAAGAACAGGAATGGGAGAAACGTTACAAAAATAAATTCAGGTTAGGTCAGATGAGGTCATATGATCGTTAAGTTAAGAAGAGAGTCAAGCTTCTCTAAAATTTTATCCTTTTTTATTTTTGCGGTGTTGGGGCATATTAATCCGTTTATTGCTTGATATTAGGGCAAAACTGCAAGAGATTACCTACAATTTCCGCTTGACAGAAACAGGTTGAGGCATGATTTTGAAATAAGGACATCAAAATATGTTACTGTTGAATAGGTCTGTGAAAATTTATAATTATTACAACATTCTGCATGAGAACAATTTCAAGGATTCACTTTATGGGGATCCTCCTTGTGATCGAAATCAAAGAAGAAGAACAGATTTTGAGGGGCTCCGGTAATGGGTAAGGGTTTGATTTTGTTTCTGTGTTGTTGTGTATTTCTCAAGGAGATTACTCCTCTTTATATAGGAGCCAGAACCCATTATCTCCACTCCCCTCATAACCGCTCCTGAGAGAATTTCTCTCAACAAAACCAATTTTTCTCCACGTTCTTCTCAAACGAACGTTGATTTGGTCATCTTAGACCAGGTCAAGCTAACATCTCCCACTTGACCAAATCAACCAAGTGGTATGCCTCCTACTATCCGTGAGATCAGATGTTTATGCTTTTCATTACTCCCACTATCCGTAAAGAGTAATTCTTATTTTATTATTCATGAAATTTTACTTGGACTTATTTATTCCTAAGTCCCATCAAACTTACATGTTTGATAAAAGATTCCGCTGGTATTCCTTTTGTCAAAGGATCAGCAATCATATCTGTAGTAGGGATATAAGTCACTTTGACTTTTCCCTATTCTACAATATCTCGAATATAGTGATACTGGATCTCAATATGTTTCCCTTTGGAGCTATTCACACCACTATTGATTAAGCTAATTGCTGCTTGATTATCACAATAAATATCAATAGGTCCTTCTAACAAATTGAGATCAAGATCAATCAAAAACCGTCTTATCCAGACAGCATGTGTAGTTGCCATACTGCAAGCTATATATTCAGCTTCTTGCGTATATCTAGCAACACACCCTTGTTTCTTGCTACTCCAAGAAACAGCTCCTCCTCCAAAGATAAATAAGTGTCCCGAAGTGGACTTTCCATCATCTTTATCACCTCCGAAATCAGCATCGGAATAACCGAGGAGTTCAAGCGAATCAGCTTGATAAACTAATCTATGAGTCAATGTACCTCTGATATACTTCATAATCCTTTTAACAGCTTCCCAATGTGCTGGTCCTGGATTACTTTGATATCTACTGACTAGACTCACAGCATAAGCTATATCAGGTCTGGTGCACAACATTGCATACATCAAGCTTCCAATTGCTTGAGAATAAGGAACATCTAATGGCTTTTGCCCCTCTCCAGGGCTTTGCTCTTTACATAATCTCTTTCCCATAACCAACGGAGTTGGTGCCGGATTGGAATTCTCCATTCCAAACCTTTTAAGAACTGATCTTAAATATTTTTCTTGGTTTAAACTTAGCATTCTAGACTTTCTATCTCGAATTATTTGAATTCCAAGAATATATGATGCATCTCCCATGTCTTTCATCTCAAACTTTTCGCTGAGATCTGCCTTGGTTTTATTCAACATTTCTATGTCATTTCCAGCGAGCAATATATCATCCACATATAAGGATAATATAGTAAACTTGCTCCCACTTTTCAAGACATATACACAATTATCTAATTTATTTTGAATAAAACCAAGTTTAGTAACTGCATCATGAAATTTGAGATACCATTGTCTAGAAGACTGTTTTAAACCATATAGAGATTTCATTAATTTGTAAACTTTATGTTCCTGTTCTTTCACCTGAAAACCTTCAGGTTGTTGCATATATATTGCTTCCTTCAACTCTCCGTTAAGGAATGCAGTTTTAACATCCATTTGGAATAACTCCAAATCAAGATATGCAACAATAGCCAAAATAATTCTAATGGATGCAAATTTAGCTACAGGAGAATACGTCTCCTGAAAATCTATTCCTGCCTTCTGGTTATAACCTTTGGCAACTAACCGTGCTTTGAATTTATCAATAGATCCATCAACACGATATTTCTTTTTGAGCACCCATTTGCATCCTATGGCTTTTCTATTTTCTGGTAGATCACGTAACTCCCACACCTTATTCTTTTCTATAGAATCAAGTTCTTCTTTCATAGATTCTAGCCATAAAGCTGATTCATGCGACTTCATCGCATCAGAAAAGGTTAAGGAATCTTGTTCTTCTATATTTGTATCTACCGAAAAACAGGATGACTCACATGAATACAAATAGTAATCATCCATCCATGAAGGTTGTGTTCTTGGCCTTTTGTTGCCTACAACCGGTTGATTAGGTACATTAATTTCCATAGGTATTTCATCATTTTCAAGGTTAGGTTCATTCACAATATCAGGGTCATTAGTGGGAACAACACTGTAATAATCATCATCTATTACAGTTAGATGTTCTGTTTCCTCTTGAACTTGCTCCTCTTCCTCTAGATTCTCTAGAAATATAGCATCTCTGCTTTCAATGACTCCTTTTTCTTTATTGTAGAACTTATAACCTTTTGACTTTTCTGAATACCCTATGAATCTACACTTTATTGTTTTAAAATCCAACTTATCTCTAAGTTGACATGGAATGAGAACATGGGCTATAGATCCCCACTTCCTGAGATGACTCAAATTAGGTTTCCTCCCATTCCATAATTCATAAGGTGTAGATATAACTGA